CTAGCAATCTAAATAAGTAATGTTTAAAGTACAAACTTCATGGACGTCTCATGTTTATCTTAATCCTTTTCTACACTTTTTTTTTTTTTTTTTTTTTTTTCTTTTTACAATTTTCTTTTCTCTAGAAAATGAGCATCAAGGAAAGAAACAACCATATTCCTCACTATACATGTTTAACTGCTGGAAACCCTAAATATTGCTGAGAAAATTCTACATATGCATAAATATAACATATCAATCGGGGAAGCTGAACTGAATAAAGGAAAATAATAAGAAAACACCAGGTATAGCTGTATTACTCCCTCCAACACCTATTTTCATGCAAGAGATTCAGGTCTTGTTAAATTCCAAGCTATGACAAAAGTGACTTATTACTTCATTCTCTTAATATGCTATGACAAAAAAAATGAATCTCCTTTGCATCAACCTATATTGCAAAGAGAGACCTTCAAGAACACATCCTTTTCTAACAACTTTCCACAACTTTCCTATTTTTACATTACATGGAATAAACACTGAATATATAAATAATTTTGTAGTAGTATATCAAGACACTAAGCTCAAGAGACGGATCTCAATTGCATAATACAAAACTGAATATATAGCACAGTCACTAACAACAATTTCCAAATATATAATGACGTTCAAAGATAAATCTAATACCTGCTTTCCAGAGTATTATCAATACTTAGCTTTGGGCAAATCCATTCTCGCTATACTGTTCCCGACCAGGCTTAAAAGGTCTTCTCTTTTCTACTCTAGTTCCGCAGCTGCTTCTGAGAAATTGCCCTCTTGCATTACACACAGGATGGACAAGTACTGGTCTCACACAAACTATATCAGCTTCAAGAAGGGTAGAGGAAGAGAGATACGAAGAAAGAAAAAGGAGAGAAAAGGAATCAATTCCAGGAAATTAAATTATTAAATAATAACCCTTAGTCTCACTTTCACAACTGAAGTACATCGACCACACATACAACCGTGACACTGTCCAACAATACGCATGCCACCTCCCCTTAAGACTTTACACTTGTTCCAAGAGCAGATTTTTGAAGAAGTTTGCAAAATTACATAGTGAGATTAAGCAAACCTCGTATACTGACTAGCTTGAATTTCGGCAGTCTTTCAAAGTCGTAAAAAATATTTGAATAATGTAACAAAATAGAAAATAATGATAAATGATACTGACAGAACTAATAGCTAACATAATCTCAAATTTGTAACAATAACAATAATTCACGAGTACTGTTGATGAATCTAGCTTTCACAACCATACTTTTCCCATGAATTAAACTTGTAAATGAAAAGTTTTGAAAGAACTACATTAGACTGTGAAATTTCAGATGACTACATGCTAGCAACTGTATAAAAAGTTATGGCAAGCTGTTTTTTTATTTGTTTTTTTATTTTGTATTCACTATTTTGATTTTCCTTTAGAACTATCACGTAAATTACCAAAGACTACAGTCCATAATATTCACTGCATCTTGTACTTTATCATTGTACATATATATATATATATATATATATATATATATATATATATATATATATATATATATATATATATATATAAATACACATGGGCTAGCTGACACTTACATTTTTATTCACTTTAATAATCATGTTCTGAAAGAAGGGAAAAGCTCTTGATAATAATAAAAAGTGTTAAATATCTCTCGAACGCAAATATAAATAGGATTTCCACATCCGCTAGGGTTTCTTAAAACTACGCGCTGTAGACTCTTTACGAACCAGTGAAGACGTTAGGAAAATATGAACGCAATGAACAGTCTATGCTGTGGTGGCAACTCTGGGCACAGGCAGAGGAAGGAGCAGGGAAGGGGGAGGGGGGGTAGGGGAGAATTCACAAAAAACTTGTGTCAAACCAGCTGATTAGGGAGCAAGCCAGGCTCACCTGTAACAACTAGCTTGCTTAGGCACTTTCAAAGTCTTGATATCTCTGTGAACGCTATAGAAAAAACACAATGCATGTGCAGTAACAATGTATTTTGTCTGTGGGGGTCAGGAAGTCTTTTTTTTTTCTCTCTTTTATTCTATTTCTCTGGTTATGTATGCATGTCATTTGTGTTATTTGTTCAGTACGCTTGTTGATGAAATGAAAGGAAATGACGGGAAATGAGCAATGTTTCCAAGAAAGCAGAACAGAGAGGGAAATAAAAGAGGTATGATGAAAAAATGGATATGAATTTCTGTATTTAGAATCCTGTTGCAAAAATAAACCAAAATCTAAATGTTTAACTATCATCTAAAATAGAAATTAAAAAAAAAGAAAACAAAAGAAAAATTGAAAAAAATTCATATGCCATTATTCCATAAATTGCAAAAAAGAAAAAAAGAAAGAGAAAATAAAAGAAAAAATGAAAAAAAAAGAGAGAACAACACTTACAAAAACAACATTGATCACAGTATACTTTCTCTTCTTCACATATACTGAAGTTCAACATATTCCTTCATACCACTTACAAAATGGTACAAAAAGGAAAGGTCACAGGTAACTTAGGTGGCTAGCGACTATGGTCAAGCTCAGCTTGCCGAGGGGGGGGCTATCCACTTCGCGTGGCCAAGGTGTACCATCTTCTCGTTCAGGTTGATGTACTGCAACAGAGTCATAGCATAAGTTTTCCAAGAAACTCCCTTTCTCTTCTTCCTCCTTTTTTCTTTTTTAGTTAGTTTATTTCTAATTTCCTTGCCATAGTATTTATAATTCAAATAGTTCCCTTTTATATTCCATAACAGCTACTGGCAAAATCATAAAATCATCTAAGTATACTGAGACTAGAAGTGTAACTGAATATAATGACCCACAAGAACAATCAAATACAAAAGCAAAACCATTACCAGCTCCCCCAAGGGCTCTGCCTTACCTGATCCTGCTGTCTTCTGTAGAGGTTGACTAGAGGTACACCATCTTCAGTATACGAGACCACGGTGGTGAAAAGGATTGTGCCACTGACCAGTTCTTCGAGCACAGCTGCAGACGTGTCATCCCAGCCGTCTTCTGCGAAAATACGAATATGCCGGTGAGTAATCTCTATAAACTCTTTTCCGTTTGGCTCAGATAACACGCATTCTAAAACAATTACATATACACCGTTGATAATAGACCACCAATGAGATCAGGAGAGAGAGAGAGCAGGGAGACTTACCTCCAACAGGCTGGATTCCATGCAACAGGCACTGAGAGGCTTGGAAAGGGAGCGTCATGTAGTCATAACGAATCTGTCTAAGGTCTGATGTGGGGAGGTTGAGGACTCCACCGACATCTAGTAATACCACCACGGCAGATTCTTCAGTGCAACTTAATACCTGGCTTCTCATCCACTGTCTGGCAACATGGCCTACACACACAGTTCCTTCTGCAAAGACATATTCATATATTAAAAGAGAGTTACATTTTGTGCATAAAACTTTCAATGTTTATTTTTTTATACTTAATCTTTTTACAGCATAGCACCACAAATATCCCCAAGTCTAAAACCCCAACCACCATCACATTCCTTATGCAATGAGTTCACAACAAATAATCCTTTAAAAAGACGAGCAACACCCATCCCCAAGCCACTTCCCAGCAGACTAACCTTGAATAGGCACAGGCAAGGGTGGGGTGTTCGAGCCGTCCCCATAGTTGAGGTTCATGCAGGAGTGGAGGCGCTGAAGGGCAGAGAAGGAGGGGTGGAGAGGCTGCTGCACCCACAATTCCCCGCCACTCATGACTGAACTCACACGCACCTCCACCACCACACCAGCTGTCAGTTCAATCTGGAAAAATATAAATAGATAAAAAATAAATAAATAAATAAAATAAAAAATGTATAAAAATTAATATCAATAATAGATCAATCTGAGACAAAACTTGGTGATTTTACACATTAAATATGACACAGCCTTATGACAAAATAATTATACCCCAAAACAGCTCCCAACAACAATCCCAAAAACCCCCAACACCTTACCTGCATGGCTTGCGTGTTGACGGTGGGCTGAACTGCAGGCTGCACGGGCCCTCTCCCTGACACTTGCTCTAGGGTGACGTCAGGGTATCTGTCAAGGGGGAAGTGGTCTCTGATCATCCTTATGGCTGCATCAACCTGCTGTCTGGTACCTGGAGAATAAAATGTAATTTGGCATGTTACACGATTATTAATAAAAGTACATATAATCAAACTGCTGTTACAATTAATACTGGAAAGAAAGAAGAGGGGGATAAAAAATCATTAACACTCATACATATAATAAATAATGATAAATAAATGAATCAAAAATATATCAAATAAAAATCTAATCAATTACAAGAAAGAACGAGATCACAATGCAATTTCATCATCACACAGCAAGTTACAACCCCCCCCTCCTCCTCCCCCTCATACACCCCAAACAAATCTCAACTCACCTTCAACGGAACATAACTTTAGCCTTCTGTTCTTGTGTGGATACACTATAAGCGTTGCATCAGTGGTAGCCTTGATCTTGTTTACAAAGGCTCCTTTCTTGCCAATCAACCTTCCTACCAGTGTCTGAAAAAGATCCATGTTATTTCTTTCCAAATATCTGGTCCTGAGTCACACTTTCATGCTCTATATGCAACTACAAAATCCTGGTTTGTGGCTTTGATACAGACAAGCATGAAATTTTTTAGCCTAAATTCCCATAAAGGTATTCAGCTGCTGCCAATGAGTGCCACATGTGACACACAAATGCCAAATGTTGGGTGTCATAGGTATGTGACATCTCTTTACTTAGCCAACTGCAAGGCATTATGCATGCATTCATCTGCACAAACAAATATTGCAATTGTGAAATTTTGCGGTTTCCCCACTATCTACAATTTTGGCTTGCACAATTATTATCTTCTGAGGTTTACTGTATTTCTGAAAAGCTGTACCTTTTCAACTGTATAAGTGTCATAAAACTAAAGAGCATAGAGGTATCACACCTAGAACATTAAGCAGCTTCCATTGTCACTGTATGTACCACCAGCATGCCCCAATACAGGCAGTCCTTGCCAGGATGTGTACAGATGAAATACTAATATGTTATCTTACACAACAGAAATGTATTCCCCTTACTTCATCATTCTCTAAGGCAAAATAGTTGCCTGGTTCAAGTGTGTACTTCACCTGAGATTTCCGTCATAAATATCTATCTTCTCTCATTTACCCTTTCCTTGCATTGGGGGGGGGGGGTCTATACATGGGGGGGAGGTCTATACAACCAGGGTGCACAGTAGATTTGATTAATTTCATTCTCTCTCTAACTATGTTACTAAGTTGCTTTACTGGCTTCACACTATCTTCATTCCCTCCCTCATTGATTTTTTTTCCTGCATGTTTTATATGAAAATTATTCAGACTAAATTCTGAAAAGTAACAAAAACCTAGTCTTCCTCTCTACATATACCTACACTAACCATGCTAAACACCTACTTCATAAATACTGTCTTTCCAATAAAACCTAGACTACAAATAAGAAAATATATATATATCCCCTAAAATAGCTAACATTTACATTGAAACACACTCAGATGAAAAAAATATATAATCACTGAAGCAACTACAAAACAAAAGAAAGAAAACTAAACTAGTACATGAGTGGACAGACAGAAGACAAGCAAGTGCAGAGGAAACTGGCACAACCATGCAAAAAGACTAGCATCCTGGAATAGAGCCCACCCCGGCATAAAGACACTTGATAATGATTTCCGCCTACTTTCAGGACTTCTCAAACCCCCCAACAATTAAACAGGATATACCACTCACCTGTGGGATTTCAAATTCATAAAACAAAAACTGCTCTTGGCTGAACACTGGACATGCCGATGGGTTAAATACAGTCTCGGGTTCTACTTCAATGCTTCCCTGGCCACTGTCAATCGATTTCTGAAAAGGAGTTAATCAGTTTTGAACATAATTTTTCATTAAGAAAGAGACATGCATTTCACCTATCACATATCTGTTACTTTTACAACATGAACTTCTCTTTACAAACCAGAATGGACTAACCCACCAATGTTAAGGATAGAAGCAGATATAATGTCCACTGTTTTTTATTTACACTTCTTTTTTCATTTCTTTACATAGAATCAATTACTAGGCTTAGCTAACCTTATCTATGCAACCCATTCCTTGAATTCTTGGCTATTTTATTACTACATTAATAATGTTTACAATGGAAATAATAATAATATCATCAGTAACAGAAATAGTTACATATGATTTTTTTATTATTCATTATTATTATTCCCCCCCCCCCCCCCAAGGAACCAAATAACTTAACTATGTAAAGATAGGTAGGTCTAGTAATTGACTTCTTGGTGACTAAGTGCTTGAGAAGCCATCGTAGTTGAAACAATATTGGTAAGCCAAGACCAAAGTGTAGCCACTGTCAATGGGTTAAAAGTCCTTCAACAGCCTGTTTATCTACAATCATACAAAGGACTAAATTCCCCTGCCTTAAAAGTTTACTAATTCACAAGTTAACTAATGTTTGTATCTGTTCCTCTAGCCATTCTGAATATCTTTACTAACCATTTCACCTCCCTTTTCACTGACAAAATAAAAAACATTGGCACAGTAAAAAAAAATAAAAAGGATATGATGTTAATAATATGATCATGGCACTACAAAAACAATGAAAACTAGAAATAGCTTTAGCAGGATTAGCATATTAGGAACACCTTGCTTTATACCAAACATGGATAAACCCTATACCATCTAAGTGTTCACATAAAATCCCTTTATCATTGTTACCTCTATCATCAGAAATTTCAAACTATTCTAAACATCTTTACACACAAAATGATACGCACCAAGCTTTGTGAGTCGCAGTTGTGGCTGTCGGGCTCGGACACAGGGTAGTTTTCCAGGTCGGTAACGGCTGGCTCCACCCCTACAGTCTGGGAATTTTCCTTCGTCTGGCTTACGTTGTTGTTGGTTTTGGGCTCAGGTGGAACTTCATTACGAGGGGGGGCCTGCTTGCCGCCTCTCCTCCTCCTGCCCTTTTCCGAGGCCTCCTTCGCGGGCTTCTTTGTGCTGCCTTGCTTTGAGCCGTCTTTCGATGCGGACACTGCACTATTCTTTTTGTTTGATTTCTGTTCGGCGCTCTTAGGAGGAGCCTCAGACACCTGGACTTTGCAGACAGGGTGCTTTGGCTCAAGCTCAGCCGTGTGCAGTTCAGCCTTTTCCCTCGCAATTTCTTCCTGCACTTCAGCAGCCCAATTCAAAATCTGTTTGTCATTGCAATCTGGCACAGTGTCAACTGCAGGAATAACCTCAGCTGTCACATTGGGAATAACCTCAGCTGTCATATTAGGTATAATCTCAGTTGTTGTATTAGGAATAACCTCGGCTGTTACATTGGGAATCACCTCAGCTGTCATATTAGGAATAACCTCGGCTGTCACATTGGGAATAACCTCAGCTGTCACATTGGGAATAATCTCAGCTGTCATATTTGGAATAACCTCTGCTGTCACATTGG